GAGGGGGATCACCATTTATCCACTACTTATTCTAAATGGTTATTATGGCACCAACATTTTATTACCTCTTACACCCATGTGTTTTTGCGCTTTGTGAGCTTTTTATTATGAATTTGTTACATTAACGACATTTATATATTTTTATGTTACACAGTTGATTATCAGTTCTCAACTTTTTATATAGAGTTTAGAACATATACAGTACCACATTTATTAGACATTTGTATGGTACGATTATTTTAGTTATGAATACCATTATAAAACATCATTCCACACCAGCACGGGGCAGTAGCTCTTTTGGTTAAGAGTGATAGCTTGTGGCCTATGGTGACTAATGTGTGCATTTGATCAATTGAAATCCATTCTGTAGGTCTCACGTCTGGCTCTGATGTGCTAGCCCATAAGCGCAAGAAGTGAGTGTGTTTAGCTTTCTATTCACCCGATTTGAAAGTGAACGAAGACATAACGAGACCATACTAGACAACCAAACGGTACATACTAATGCACTACACCATCACACCTGTAGACATCAACAGTCTTCAAAATTAGTATATCAAATATTTGTTCTTTGTTACATATGATCTACATACAGAGTGATTAGAGTGTTAGTTTGTTCTCTCCCTTCCCCCCCCCCCCCCGAGCATTTACTTCGTTCTTTACCTTCACAAAAGTCTTATCACTCATTTTATATTTTCTTTTATAATATATTTTATTTTATGATTTTTATTTTTTATTCAATGACACCATCTTTTAGCTGTTTTTTTGTTATCACAGGTCTACGAAACTGGACGGCTCCGTTGGTCACTTGTTGCGATCATTGTGTCACATAAACAAAAAAAAAAGAAAAAAAGAATCAAGAAATGGAGGGCTAACTTTAAATAACATTACTAACACTTTAGTTAAACTGCCTATCAAGAAAAGTAAATAATCCATAAATGGAGGGCTAACTTTAGGTAACATTTCTAATACTTAACTTGAATTGCCTATCAAGAAAAAGGAAGAATCCAGAAATGGAGAGCTAACCTTAGGCAACATTACAAATACTTTACTTAAACTGTCTATCAAGACATGGAGGGCTAACCTTAAGCAACATTACTTATACTTTACTTAAACTGCCTATCAACAAACAGAAAGAATCCAGAAATGGAGGGCAAACCTTAGCCAACACGACAGTTTATTTATGGAGTGCAAAGTCCTATGGCTTACCTTCTTGTTGGTGCACTTTGTTAAGTGAATTAGACAAGCATTATCTAATTTATGAACTAAATAGCCAAGGCAACACTTTAAATAACTTTATTGTTAAATAGATAACTAAAAACAGAAAAAAACAAAAGTAAAGATATCTTAAACAGGGGGAGGGGGATAGGGTAATGTCACTCCTTCTTCCTTAACTGACAACATCAAATTGTATCTGGCAATTTTAAATATAGTCGGCAAATTTTGACATTTTAAAGTTGGCAAATGTAAAATATTGAGGCTTTTTTATTTTTTTGTTTAAGGCACTCACTACATCCCCCCCCCTCCCGCCCTTTCACTTGATAAAAAAGAAATTAGCTCTTCACGCCGTCCGCAAACCCAGATTGGGCCACATAGTTACAAAATCCTGGATCTGCGCCTCGACTAACAGAGACCAACCAAAATTAAAAAATTTGATTTATTAAATACAAAACCACCCTTTGAAGTCTTTTAATTTATTGAAAGTTTATAGGTGTATGAACCATTTAATAATAACTGTGATTCAATAACTCGTTGGCACATTGATTTTTTGCTTCTCAAAATTAGCATAAATTTTATCGTTTTTAAAGAAATAGATGGTTTGAGACATAGTTTTTAGACTCAAATTGAGTTTTATATCAGTTTGACTGTATTTAACTAAAAAAACAAAAAATTTTTTTCTTAAAAATTTATAACATACTAATATAAGCCTTGATTAACCAGAGACTTGATGTTTAAAAGTACAGAATTTGCGTTATTGAATGCCCCTTGAGAAGTTTTGGGTAACGGGAAAAAGTTGCAGATATTTTTAAAACTTTTAAATTTTTTTCTCTAATGTATAAAACTTGATATTATATTCGTTTATAAAAATTCTTCTCATTTCAAACAACTTTTATAACTCCACGAAGTTGCTACATCGCAAATTTACATCGAAACACGTAAAACTTTGAAAAACGAACTAGTCAACGATTTATGAAAACTCAAATTGCAGTAACGCTTTGAATTATAGTCTCAAAATTTCAGGTTTTTTTCATAAAATGATTCAAAGAAATCCGTGAAATTTTTTAAGAAAATTCAATAACTCAACTATTTCAACTTGCCTCATTCTTATAAAAAATTGACTTTTAACTTTGTTCTAATTTTTTTTAATTAAAAAGTCAGTTCAAAAAAGGAAGAAATTAAAAATTAGAGAATAAAAGCAATTTCTTATAAAAAACTTAAGAAAAAAAAGTAAAGGAAATTGTATGCACTCTTGTATATATATATATATATATATATATATATATATATATATATATATATATATATATATATATATATATATATATATATATATATATATATATATATATATATATATATATATATATATACAGGCCCGCCGCGACCCTTTTTGACGCTTAGGGTCAAAATTTATCTAGCGCCCTGTCATATTGACTAAATCTAAAAAAGTTTAGGTACTGTCTAAATATAAACATTTTTTTTTAAACTGAATTCACTTTCAAAGTTCGAAGGGTAACTATAGTTCAGGAGGCTTCTATTTATTTTTTAAATAAATTTGAAACAAAAGTAAAAAAAGAAGCACAAGTTGACAAGTTACTTAATTTTATTATATTGCGAGTAACTGTAAGTTTTAAATGCAATAGATATTTTAAATGCTTCATGAGAATTTGACTCTCCGGACTTTATTTTAAGCAAAATTTGCTATGACCTCGTCGTAGCAAACTTTTTTCCAGATTGTGTTCAATAGATATAACTAAGAGATTGGTAAGGCAGTCTTGACTCATTTTAGATGTTAGTGTTGTCTTGACTAGAGCAAGGTTTCTGAAAGACCGCTCTCCTTCAGCGAAGGAATTGGAATCGTGTTAAAATTACGTAACAAAATGCATATTGATTTGAAGATAGACTCTAGACCTTTTTGATAGATTCCATTTAATAGCCTCATTAAAGCGAGATATTCTTTTGGACCGAAAAGATTGGCGAAATAAGTTTATCTTTATCTACATCGTTCACATAGATTTGCGCCAAAGTTTTACATTTCTCCTCCAGGCTAGGTGGTTCAATTTCTTTTTCTTCACCCGACCTACTATTAGATTCTGAGAGTCATTCTGAGGAAAGAAAAACTGTTTGTCCTTTTTCCTGTTGCTTGAAATATGTTTCGTATTTGTTGAATTAAAGTATCGAGAGCGGTGTTGAATACGTTCAGTTCAAGCTGCTTTTCATCGTTTTCGTAGAAATAAACTTCGTTCCTTGCTTCTTCGTAAAAGATTTTCCTCTTCGTTGTCCTTTTTTGAACTAATTTTGACTGTAATCCATAACTAGCTAAACCGGAGGCAACCAAATGCGCTTTAACAGTTAATACGGGCCAAGAAGATCTAAATCTAGTAAGATCCTCGATAAGAATTGACATAAGTTTTATCTCAACATCTAAAGTAATGTTTTTTGATTGAAATGACACACTGACGTTTATTGCTTGAAGCGCTTTGAACCAAAAGGGTGTCATGATAAAAAACTCAAATAACTGAATCCATTTATCCAAAGACTTTTACGTCATTCAATAGATCAGCAGTTGAATCAAATTCCCGAAGTTTCTCCAAAGAAAGAAGGATTTCTACGGATCGCTTAACCAGCGATTTCACAGCCTTAATGCGTGCGCTCCATCGGGTTTGTGAGGTTTGATGAAGAGACAAACCAGTCACCTCGGTCAAGATTTTCTATCGTATAGGGCTTCGATTAAAAAGATAATAGAGTAACTGAATCCGGCAAAAAAAAATTTCATTTCTACAGAAGATTCAAAAGAATGAACACCAACTAGATTAAGGTTATGAGCGCTGCACGGCATGTAGAAAGCTTAAGTATTTCTGTGAAGAACGATCGCTTTTACTTCTTTGTACACAGCAGACATGTTGGCACCGTTGTTGGTCGATGTTTGATGAAGAGACAAACCAGTCACCTCGGTCAAGATTTTCCATCGTATGTCGATGTCATTTTGATCCAAATCATCTATAGTTAGCTTGGCAATATCCACACCTTTTCAAGTAATCTTTTATAAAATATAAAAACCGCAGTAAAATTGAGCTTCTTTTTAGGGATAAATTTAAAAATTAAACTATTTAGTTTAGACCGACAGTGTTAAATTAAACAGTTTAATTTAAAAAAATCAATTTGGAACTTACAAATTATATAACTAGTAATAATACTATGTACAATTTACATAAATAATTTATAATTAAAAAAAAATATTTTTTTTTAGATAATACAAGGCTAAATAAATAATAATATGTAAGGTAAATATTAAAAAAAAAACATTAAAAAAAAGTCGAATAAAAGCTTATTTTCGTCAAATAATTTTGTAAGATTAATTAAAAACTTTATTACATTTTTTGAAACTATTGCCAATAATAATAAAACCAGCCTGTAGACGCAAAGCAAAACAATTCTTTCCTTGTTAATAAAAAGTTCATAAGCAATATATATACTTTTATACATTGATTTAATATTTTTAAAGACTGTAAAATAAATTGTAAAATTTACAATACGTGAATAAAGAACGTCGATAAAAGACTTGCTTTTCTTTTTATATTTAAATTAGACTTTTTTTAAAAATATAAATAGACTTATATATATATATATATATATATATTTATATATATATATATATATATATATATATATATATATATATATATATATATATATATATATATATATATATATATATATATATATATATATATATATATATATATATATATATATATATATATATATATATATATATATATATATATTATAATGAAAAATACTACAACATAAATATTTAAACACATTTTACAGTTGAATTTTATATTCAGCTATAATTTATCTTCACAAGGCTTTATTCTTTGCTCACGTCGTGTCTTTTTGTTTAACATTAAAGAGATAAATAAAACCAAATTGTATTGGATACGTCTCGTGTTTGAATGGATATGTAAAATTAAACCAAAATTAGGACCAACATGTTTAGGGCACAAGATCATAACCAATAAACCCTAATCTGCAATCGAGGTTATCACCGTAAAAATGCAGATACCATACACGCTTAAAAACAAAATCTACGGTCCTTTAGCAGCTTTAACTACAAGGCTTTACATTTTTACCAGAAGCAATTTCCTTATCAGCAAAGTTAATAAAAGAGGCTTCGTTAGATAAAGTAACATTAGCAATACATCCAATCCATCCTTGCATGAAGCGGTGGCCAGAAAGTGCATATACATCTCCAGGTAAGCCTCCTAATTAAAAAATTCTTTAATAAAGTATTGCTGTTCTACTTATAATAAGTTACTGTCTGAGGCAGTAGACAAGCGACTTTGGATTGTGTAAACTTAAATTTACGCTTTAAAAAAAAAAAATTCAAAAGTGATTACAAGTATTGAGTATCAACAATGTCTCTATATATTTTTTTTAACCTTGATGCAATTTAAAACAAACTCAATGAAGGACGGTCTGGTGCCTACTTAACAACCTATTAAAAAATCTACATTGTTTATTGAAAGTTAAAAAGAGAAAACTAATTTAACCTTTGCATAAGTGAATGTAAGTTATTTAAAGTAATAATACATAGGATAAATTTAGTTATTATTTTAGGCAAGTAAATTATCGAAAGATTATCTTACTTTAAGTGATTATTACTCTCGCCAATAAGCAACTTTTAAAGAAATTAAATTAAACTTGCACAGTAGATCTCTTAAAAAAACTTCAAAAGGTGCCTAAAAATTAATCTTTTCATAGAGATTTAGCAGCAAATTCAAACTTGGACTAAAATTTTTTATTAAAAGTCTTTTCATACTATTTTTAGATTTTTTTATTTATTATATTTTTAAATTTGAGACAAGGTACTTGTAATTATATCAACTTTCAATAAATAAATGACTTAAACTTTTGAAAGAGAGTTGAAGGTCTTTTATCTTTTTCGAGATCGTATTTTTCGATCGTGTCATTAAAGACTTAACAGAATCAAGCATCGCTTGATTCTGTTAAGTAATGTGATTATCTCTACGAAATCCATGATTTCTAGTTCTAAATCATTATTTTTATTAGTGTACCTGTCATCATTTGAAATCTTTGACCTGATTACTTGCGATTTTTGGATTCTGAGTTGCATTACTGCTATCTTTTCTAAACCATTGTTCCCAATATCAATTACATTGATCATTTGCTATGACGTTAGAAAATTTTTATTATCAATTATTATCAAAAATGATGAGATGCTAGAAAATATTTTTCAAATGAGGGTATTTTAAGGCAGATATATCCGTAGGTACCTTCTTCTAATATAAATTCTAACTGAGTTTTGCAGAAAGCAGAAATCTTTTTTTATGTAAAAGTTTAACCTTTACATCCAAATGCCACAGTCAGTCTAAGAGAGGTGACCGTTTTTGGAAGATTCCACTCAATTACTTACTTGGAGAAACAAAAAAAAGTTATAAATTTTATTCACATTAAAAACTCTATTTTTGTAAAAAAAAACTGTAGAGCTTTTTGTACTCGGTTGTGCATAGTGTTTAAAAACCTATTAAGAAAACATTGTAACTTAATTTTTTTCATAACGGTAACTCTTTTCAATCCTTGTTACCCTAACCCTAAGCCGTCAAAGATGGCATTAAAAAAAAATTAAAATAATTGAAAAATGTATATGTAAATATCACAACTTTGAACTTCATCTTTGTGGTCACTTTTAACTCAAGTTGTATAGTTAATAGAAAACAATATACTTAACAGAATAAAATTTCACTCACCAATATATATGTAACCATCTGTGACGAATGAAACTTGGGCTGAATGACTTACTACCAAGTCTGGTTTATTCAAGTTGATCCAAACAAAAATAGCATTGCCATTTCTTTAAAACATAATATAAATATAAATATATATATATATATATATATATATATATATATATATATATATATATATATATATATATATATATATATATATATATATATATATATACATACATATATATATATTGACAATATATACATTGATAAAACACAGTGTAAAATGAAAAAAAAATTTGTCAAGTGATTTTCTACTAATTTATATATATATATATATATATATATATATATATATATATATATATATATATATATATATATATATATATATATATATATATATATATATATATATATATATATATATATATATATATATATATATATATATATATATATATATATATATATATATATATATATATATATATATATATATATATGAATGATCAAATTAATAAAACTTCAATTTATACCAAAAACTTAAATTACAGGAAGTCGCAAATATTTTAACTACTGTAAACTTTTACACATTTGTGGAATTTGCTGACACTATTATAAAAATAATTCTTTAGAAATGATTACTTATGCTTTTTTTAAAAAAAATATTTTTCAAAAGGGGGGATTTAATATAACTATTATTTGAGCTCACTTATTTTTATAGTTTTTTAGGAGAAACTTATTTTCGTGCCTGCATTGAGAAATCAATTCCGATTTTTTGTTTAACAAACATTCTTGGTTTGCATGTGTAATTATTTCAAATTTTTCTTGTAGACATAGTATGCATTTTTTGGAAATATTGTTGTATGCAGGCACTGTTTTGAGGATTTATTAGAACCAATTTAGTATAAAATCATCAATCTTTTTATCTTTTAGTTCCCATATATATATATATATATATTTTGACAGTATGGTGTCTTTTGAATACTTTTTATTTTTAAAAGATTGCTTATGATTGGCAAAACGTTTTTTCCATTCACCCTCTGTTATGCCAATATATTGTTTATCGGGTACATTCTTAGAGGAAAAAACACATTTATATACCACATTTTTAGATAAACAACTTCCACTCATTGGACAATTGTTTTTTTTTGTCTGCAATTACAATTTTTTGTAGTTTTTTCATTTAGGATTTCTTTTTTATTTAACAAAGCATTATTATGACTTTTTATAATTCTTTCCATATTTTTTGTGCAAATATAGTTAACTTTAATTGTATTTCGATTAAAAATTTTATGTAACTTATTAGAAGGAGAGAAATGCTGATCGACCAATTTTAAAAACACTTTTCCTATGTTAGTGGAAACTGTAATGTATATATATATATATATATATATACATATATACATATATATATATATATATATATATATATATATATATATATATATATATATATATATATATATATATATATATATATATATATATATATATATATATATATGTATACAAGTATACATATATATATATATATATATATATATATATATATATATATATATATATATATATATATATATATATATATATATATATATATATATATATATGTATACAAGTATACATATATATATATATATATATATATATATATATATATACATACATATATATATATATATATATATATACATATATGTATATATATATATATATATATATATATATATATATATATATATATATACATATATGTATATATATATATAATATATATATATATATATATATATATATATATATATATATATATATATATATATATATATATATATATATATATATATATATACATATAGTGTAGTCGAAAGAGCGTTTTAATGTAAAAAATGTCTCTTACGACTACAATTTTAATTACCTCGTCTCTTAAGCTGTTTTTGAAAATGTCAAAGCAATTAATTTATGCGGAAGTACATTAAATTTAATTGTTTTTTAAAAAATTTTTAAAAAACCGCAATTATAACGACTAGAAAGTTTTTTTTAATTAGTGGTGTTTTTGTTATTGATTTAATAAAAAACATTTTTAAAACATGCGTAAATGTTGCTACATCGACTATCTTATAGCCTGACTCGCAACGGAGTGCTGCTACATCGACTGACAAATAGCCTGACTCGCAAGGGAATGCTGCTACATCGACTGACAAATAGCCTGACTCGCAAGGGAGTGCTGCTACAACGACTGACAAATAGCCTGACTCGCAAAAGAGTGCTGCTACATCGACTGAGGGTTTGGTTTGGCCAGGCAGTCTATCAATTAAAAAAAAAAATTTAATTTTTAAAACTTTTTCTGGTCTGGTTTATTAACGCGCTCTTTAAAACTACAGTTTATGGGAAACTTTTTTTGATGCCATGCAAGAGACATGCAAGAGTATATATATATATATATATATATATATATATATATATATATATATATATATATATATATATATATATATATATATATATATATATATATATATATATATATATATATATATATATATAATATATATATATATATATATATATATATATATATATATATAAATGGCTAAAATGATTAGTTTTTTATATATAAATATATAAAAAACTAATCATTTGCAACTCTAGTTGAAAAGTTATCAAAGTTGTATCAGCATTTTAGAGCACGACTGGAATACCTGTTCAAGCAGCCAAACATTGTATAGACAAATTGGTGGCACTATTTGTTCAATGGAAAGGTCTTCTTAAAAATAAAAACTTTAAAGACAGAAGGATATAGGATAAAAGAGGATGAATTTATCGACTGTCTTTGAGATCTCTTTGATATAGCACATTTTGATGCATTCACTATGATTTCAATTGCTGAAGATATAGCATTCCTCCTCTCTCAGAGACAAAAAAGTTTACCAGATTTAATTGGTGCATAAAATGTGCTCAGGAAAAAAAAGGAGAAAGAATTGAAACACATTATCACAAGATGAACTGGACACAAATTATCACAAGAAAAACTGGAAGTTTTGACTGAAATTAAATGCACTGTCAAACAAGGTTGTTCTAGAATCTGATTCATCAACTTCATCCAGTGTATCTGAAGAAATTAATAATAATGAAAAATTAGAGATGGTAAATTATTAACACCTAAAAGAATCAACATGTCTCCTGGACTTACATCCACATTAGATATAACTAAGATCTCATCCTTAAACAGAGCTTATGTTCTTTTAAGCCCAATGTGAACATGTTAAACATTAATCGGAACTTAATACAAAGGTCTAAAGCAAGTTATTGAAAAACAAACGTGAAAAATCTCAAATCAGAATTTTCAACAAGTGTGCCTTTAACAATTCACTGGGACGGCAAACTCATGGAAGATTTGACATCTTATAAACAAGTCGTTTTCCAATCTTGATATCACGTGTTCATAGATGAGTATTTGACTTTATGAAAATCTTGGAAATTTTTTGTCTATGATAATCCCAAAAAATCCAAGAGAGTTATTTTATTTAAAAATGATTGCATTTAACTGACAAACGGAACTTAGATTAATTTAAAACAGAATTTAGATTATTTAACTTTTTACAAAAAGGAATTTCTAATATTCAAAAAAGTTTGAATGAATTAAAAAAGAAAAAAAATTGTTACGAAAATTGTTCTCGTGAATTTTAATTATAGAAAACATATTTGTTTAAATGCAAAGGTTGTCGTATGTAAAATTTTATGTAAAAAAAAATAATTTTTTTTTAAATTAATATCAAAAACATTCGGAAATTTCTGGAAAAAATAAAGGTGTTTTAAGTGAATTTCCAGAATTCCGGGAATTTCCGGAAAAAACTCATCTATAGGTGTTGGTGTTGAACAAAAAGTATTAGGCGTTCCAAAACTATCATCCAGAAACAGGTGAAGCACAAGCATGTGCAGTTATTGAATAATTGGATACTTGGGATTTTATAGATCAGGTTGCAGCATTGTGTTTTGACACTTCAGCATTTGTTCTTAGCCTGTTGTCACCACCTGATGGAACTTATGGTTGAAGCTGCATTTAAAAAGACTACAATTGGTACTTCTACTGGATTAGAAATACCCATTTTTATGAGGTTCAAAGACAAATGGGAATGTATGGATCTTAAAAATTTCCAGATTGCCTTTTCATGTCCAAGAGTGGAATTCGTGGTCAAACCATTTTGTTCTGATATCCTGGAATTTGCACAAAAACAATTAGAATGTCAACAGCCACAAGATGACTACAAGGAGTTCCTTGAGCTTTCAATTATACGGTGATGTTCCTTCTTGAGGAGTGCAATTTCTAATGCCTGGGGCCATGCACCTGGCGCAATTGATATCAAAAGTTACTTAAGCTGTTCCACCACCAGTTTAACATGACATCAGAAGAAAGCGGTATCTTTAGTTAATTTTTTGCAATTAAAATATTTTTTTTTGTAATTTTAATATTATTTTTTTATTTAAGAACCATAAGCACTCCTAATATTTATAACTTATAGCAATAATTAAGTATAATAATTAGTTATCAAGTATGAAAAATGTATAATTAATTAACTCAATTAAACTTTAATGTCATCAGTAAAATACATCATATATCGTTTAATTAGTTTTACGGAAGTGTAGTATGTGTAAATATTTTTTCTGTCTATCTTATCGATACAAACATAAGCAACAAAATGCAGCACATCTCTAAGTTCTGCCGAATTTCATTTTTAATTTAAATTATTCTAATAACAACTTAACACTAAACTTCCATTACATCTGTTTTATTTTTAATATTACTATAGATTATTGTTATTTTAAACAGCAGTTATTTTTAGTCAAACATCTTATTAAAATACATGCTAAGATAAGCATTTTGTTTAGTATATTCAATATTTGTAGCATGTTTCTTTAGAAATATAAAGTCATCGCTTTGCAAAACAATCTTTATGCATGGTAAAACTAAACTAATACCATATTAATACCAGTTTTCTGCATACTACTTAAGATGTCAATTTGTTAGGTTCTACTTTTATTTACTTAGATATCACTGGAAAAAAATGAGCAAGTCATTTCAATTTGTTTTTTAATTTTCCAGCTGCTAAAATAAGAATAAAAAAAAGTTAAAGCTTTTTGGCAAAAATCTGATACTCTTTGCAAGCAGGAAAAATACATTGTTGAAGGTTTTCTTAAGCTTTATGATAAATGGAGAAATATTGCAAAATCTAAAAATAAAAAACTTCTAAAGAAAGATGTACCAGTTCAAGATTTCAAACAATTAATGGATGATAGTTTTAAAATCAGTTCTCAAAATCAGAAAAAAAACATAAAAAAAAAACAACATGAAATGATGCAGAAGATATTGCCTGGTTTGCAGCTCTCGAATGCAGAGTTGAAACGGAGGATTAGGCGGGAAAGATAACATTAAAATCGAGTTCCAAAACAAAAAAAATTTGAGAACGGATAAAGAAAAGAAGCGAAAATTCGATTTCAACATTTATAATAGTAGTGACTCGACTGAAAAATCATTTATTGTTGGGTCTAGAGAGCGCTCTTATTCTCAGAGTCCTTTAAAATTACTCATTAAAACTTAAAATCATCTACAATACTCATTAAAGTAATTAACTTAAAATCATCTACAATACTCATGGAAGATGTTGTGTTATGTAATATAAATTTAATTTTAGCAAGAAACTTTATTTCTCATCTGATGATAATACTAACAACTGATAGATCTTATCATCAAATCAACTATCAAATCAACAAGTAATGGTGAATATTTTTGTGATCCCTGATCTAGGTTGTTTTTTTTTTCAGTTATTTAGCTTTTATTTTTGATAAATATAAGAAATTTTAAAATATGTTTTATGGGTGGTGTTAAATCTAAAAAAGTCTCATTTCAATTAATACAATCAAAAAAGCACAAAAGCAAAATAATCAAGTTATGTCAAGAAATAATTTTAGAGTTTAAAACAAAAGTTAAATCAGATCATTAAACTCTTTACTGGGATGGGAAACTCATGAAGCAGTAATCTGGTAAAAAGTTTGACTATTTATCTGTTTTAGTAACTGATTATCTAAACTGCTCAGAAGATAAAATTTTATCTATTAAACCTACTTAGTCTGGTACAGAAGTTTCTATCTAAAGAAGAATTATAGAAAATTTAGATGAATGGGATCATTAATAAAAATATTGTTGTCCAAATTTTTGATACAACAGTTTGTAATACTGGAAAAAGAAACAGGATGGCAACTCTTCTCGAGGAAACCAAGTCTATGAAAACGGTTCTCTGGCTTGCATGCCGTCATCATGTTGAAAATTTTTAAAAAGGAATATTATAACTCTGAAAAAATTCCTCTCAAAATTTTAAATAGGACCCTTGATTTTGAAAATTCTTTTTTTTAAAAAAAGGAAATGAAACTCTCAGTTTCTTAGAGGTAGCATTAAAATCTTTGTAACTATTCTTATAACAATCTAAGTATCACACATGAGACAATTATAAAGAAGCTGCAATTTTCTTATTAGGTGAAACGGAGCCCAATCAATGGAAAACATGTGGTGCTAGTCATCATGCAAGATGGATAGCACATTTTTTTAAGTAATAAAGATGCTAATCTTTAAAAAAAGAAAAAACAGAATCTGATTTAAGCAACTTGAAAAAATTTTTGACTTACAGCTCAGCCAATTAAATTAAAGGTTAGTTCAAAGCCTCAAAAGCTAGTGATGCACTAACGATATAAAGTTATTTAACAACTAGAAACTCTTAAAGATAGACTAAACTTTTATGTTGCTGATGAAAAAGTCTAAAAAGTTTTAAACAGACACTCTTGGTATGTAGCCAAACAGGTGCCTGTCTTAAGTGAATTTTCAAATAAACTTTCTCTAAAAGATAAAGAAAAAATTGCAAAAAAAAATGTTAGGTTATGGAAAAACACTTGGAAACCAACTTCTTTATTTAGAAAAAAATCGAGTTGAGTTCCTATTACTTTCAAATACTTACAAAAGTATACAAGAAAATTATTTACCAAGTTAGTTAAAAAAATCAATATAAACAAAACATTTAAAACAGATTTGAAAAAAATATTTTTTATACTTAGTATAAGGTTGTACAAAACAAAATTTTTCTTTGCAGACAAGTGAAATTTTTAAAAAATTTTGTTTTTAACTCTTCCTAATTCTGAGGGTTGTTTATATATATATATATATGTATATATATATATATATATATATATATATATATATATATATATATATATATATATATATATATATATATATATATATATATATATATATATATATATATATATATATATATATATATATATATATATATATAAATAAATAAACAACCCTCAGAATTAGGAAAAATTAGATTAGAAATAATTTGCAGAACTCAATCTTTTAGAGATTGGCATCAGGCATCAGGTCAAAAAAAATTTGATATAAAGGTATTACGATAACAGATAGTTATGAAGTCGGTAATATTTTGCCGACGTTGAAAACTTTTAGGTTGACAGTTAGGTCGGCATCGCCAAATGCTGATGCTTACTCCAAGGGCTTTATATACTTATAATATAACTATTATTTTCTATTATATTATAACTATTATTTGCGTAAAGTAAGAACTTATAATTTAAACAAAACCTCAAAATATGTATCCTATGATAAGCCCCATCATTAAACAGCTGTTCAGTAGAAGAAGAAACTTCCTTACCATCTATCAGGTACCTAAAAGCAACATGCTTGATACCAAACAATAGTTTAATAAACAGTATAACTAATATAAAGCAAAAAGATTTGAATTCAAAACTTTTTATTTAGAAAATTAAGTATTAGATAATATTAGAAACATCAACTTTTTTGGTTAAGTTTATTGTTTTTTTGTTTGAATTACTTCTGCTTATTGAGAACCAATTTTGTTGTACCTGACATTAATAGTGCCATTATACAACCCCACTGAAATCATATCTCCATAATCATCCTGAAGACGCCCGTACCAAAATAAAAGACCATCATTAGTACTACGGAATGATAGTGCAAAACTGTTATGTAATGATGCTCTATAATTACAAATAGTTACAAGTAAATATTTTTTAAATCAAAAAAAGATGCTATTAAATTATTTTAATTACAAACAAACATTTAGTCTTTTCATTTCTAATTAAAAAATTAAAAATTTCAAAAGTGAAATAAAAAATAATTTTAATAAAAGCAACACATAAAATATCAACAACTATAAACAAAAAAAAAACTTCTATCAATGCTAATTTTTTAGTCAACAATATTTTATGCAAAAACTTATTATAAATATTAAATGAAGAAATCAAAAAAAGTAACTTTTTTTGATTTTTCCCAAGCATCCACTACTAAGTTATGAGTTACTAGAAAGCAAAAAATGGAGTTAAAAAGCAAGAAAAAGGTATAGAGTATAGATGCAACTTTATGATAATGGGAGAGAGGTCTGAACTTGGCAGATAAAGCAGGTCCAACTATGTTTAAATTGATTTTTAGACCTTGTCTAAAAGAGAAAGAGCATCATTAGAAAAACCAACCCAAATATGACAACAGCATTTCATACAAGGATAGAGATAACTATAATAATGTATAGAGATAAATAGTAGAAGTAAAGAATGAATTAGAGGTAAAAAAAATGGCAAGTAAATTAAAAAGAAACAATCTTAGCAGATGCTAACATTTTAATCAACTGAATAAATGGTTTCCATGAAAGCTCAAAAGTGAATAATAATCCAAAAGAACGTAATGAAGAAGACTCAGTAAAAGAGTTGCCATACATTAATATAGAAATGTGGACAGTATTGGAATAGTTATTTACAGTAAATAACTGAGTTTTGTTGGAGTTGAAATTTACAAGCCAATACAAGCCTCAATCTGTTACTAAAGTGAGATCAAATTCAAGATTAGTTGCCTGTTCTAATTAATCAAAAAGAATAGACTTTTTGTCAAGACAGGAGTATAAAATTGAGTCATTAGCAAATAGAGCCGCTTATATGTAAGGTTGTCAGGAAGATCACTGATGTAGATAAGAAACAAAACAGGACCAAGGATAGAACCTTTATGTACTTCATAAATTATTGGAAATGAAGAAAAATGTTGGCCTTCAAGGATGATTTTAATAAAGCAGTTAGAAAAAAATGAATTGATAATCTCAAAAACTTTTCAGACATCTAATGCAGCTAGCTTATAGAGAAAACCAGCATGCCAAAAATTATCAAAAACTTTAGATATGTCAAGAGCAATAGCCCTTGCTGACTTAAATCCACAATAGAATCTTACTTTCACAGCAGTCAGCAAGTCAGCCTTAGAAAAAGAAGATTGGAAATCATATTCATTGTCATACAGTAAGTTATTTGACTTAATATGGGATGTTAGAAATTTGTTGATCAAAGACTCAAAGACCTTGCTAATAATGAAAAGAAGACTGATTGAACAATAGTTGGAGGGATCAAAATGTTTTCAAGAGTTATTAAAAATTAAAACCACAGATGCAAATTTCCAGCAGGCACGAAAACAAGATTGTTTAAGAGAACTGAAGAAAATTCTGGATTATGACAGAAATGTTGTCTGGAAATGTTGTCCACAAGCCATAAAAAAATTTAATTGAGATAAGAATTTAGAAATGGAAGCTGGAGTGATTTGAATGTTTAAGGATGGATTAATCTGTTTAACTAGAATGACAGTAAAAGTATGACTATGACATTTAAGAGTCGATTTAGAAGAAAAGTACTTTCCAAATAGTTAAAACTTATTCTCAGGTGAGTTCATAAGATTAGTATTATGAATAAGAAATAGAATGTGTTAGACCTTAGTTAATGACACTCTTAAATATTTTCAAAAGTTTCTTGAGTCTAACTTCTGAAAAACAAGATTTGGTAAACAAGAAATCATGGAGCACACAGCACCTTTTACATTGGTTTCTTGCAATAGTAAATAGGTGTTTGTTTTTAAAAAAGTTATTTTTTTGAAGAAGATAAAAAAAAGACTACAATTAGATAGAGTAGCTGCGCATGAAGGTGAAAACCATGTAGAAAAACAAGGTTAGACTTGGAACCGACAAGAAGAAATAAAACCTTTAATACTTGCCTAGATCCAGGAGGCTACTTAAGAGGCACATTTATCATCAGCCCAAGGACAAAGAAAGTTACAAAAAGAATCCTAGTCAGCTTTAGGGTAGTAGTAAGTGTTAATGGAAAAGGTGAGTCCGAAAAAGAAGTACAAGAAAAAAGATTTATAGAGATCATTGCATGATCAAAACCACCTAAAGAAAAACAAAGAGAAACTGAACACAAGCTAGCGTCAGAGACAAGACACAAATCAAGGATTAAAAGTAAGTGAGGTAAAGTTAACTGGGTAAAAGATGAAGAAATACAGGAGTTTTTTAGGGTTATTGTTAATAAATTTAGTATTTCAAAAGATTATTTTTTGCAATACATATACTTGTTACATTAACATTTATCATTCGCAACCGGACTTGGAGACCAGTTACTTTAGTGGAACATATACAGCCATAGGAGCTTCAGAGAAGAAGGAGAAATATTATATTAGAGTGAGAGTTAGCTAAAAACAATGAAAAGATGTCAGACAGATGTCCAGTATAAAAGCACAAAAATAAAGCAAGAATTTATTATTAATTGTTTAAGTATATTTTACAAATAATATGTTGGACCAAAAGGGAAGAGGTGGGTAGAACTGAGCACACCAAGCCAAATGTTAAAAAGCAATAGGTATTATTTTAAAGTTATAAAGCGCTAAAAGATTGAGGATAAAAAACCTACAGGAATAGAAAGGTAATATAAAACAATTAAGACAATGTAAAAAATGCATTAAACTATCTGTTTAAAATTTTTTTTTTAATTTAAAATTACTTTAATTTCTTATTTTGATAGTTTTGCTTTAATTGTTTTTAAAAGTTTTTTCTGCAAAATATAGAAATGCCTAATATAATAAAACTTGCAAACAGCTGTGACCCCAAGTTGTCTAAATAAAAACATGCGTGGAGAAACAAGACAAAAAACAACACATGTCTCCTGGCTTAAGGTGAGATTCAACTGATAGAAAGTTACTTTGAACATCACAAAAGGTATATTAAAATAGTTTGGTGGTGGTGATGGTTTTTTATTTTTAATATTTTCTGTTACTTTAGGCATGGTTTTAGTTCAAAAAAAAATAGACTCATTCATATATAGAGCACAACATCTCAAGCAATAAGCTATGAAATTGTCTCTAATTAAATTAAAGTTATAACAGGGATACCATTCATGAACAATATGGCATTGTTAATATTCTGATATTTTACAGCTGTTGATAAAATCAGCCTCTCTGAGAGCTACTACAGAGTTGGGGAAATCTTACTACCAGCCAGTAAATTGTCATTAAACTGTCATTATTAAACTCAATGAACCATTAAATTGAGTTTTAGAGCTGTACCCTCATCAGAAGATCACAGAACAACTTCATAGACACTATCAAGGAGGCACAATTAAAAATCTATAGGTAGAGTCATAAAGATCCTTCATTCATCATTCTAGGCAGAGAAAAATGTAACACAGATTTACATCTTTGCCTAATAGTTGATAAAGGGGTACAAAGTTTACTCCTAAAGTCTTTGCCTAGATGGCCATCTACAAAACAGTAGCAAAGTCCAGGTAACATCTGCCCAAGATAAGAATTTTTATTTTAGACACCATCTCTAGGCTTTACTCAACTACACCTCCAGAGGCAGGGGAGTCTTAGCTAGATGCAGTTAATATTTGCCCAAGATGAGTAATTTTATGTAGACATCATTTCCAGCCTTTACTTAACCAAGAGCCCCAGGGCAGGGGAGTTTTAGCTGGATACAGTTAAAATCTGCCTAAGATGAGTATTTTTAATGAGACACCATTTCTAACCTTTACTCAACCAAGACTCAAAAGCAATGGAATTTTTTAGCCTTTGCCTAAAAAGTTAGCATTAACTTTTTCTACCCTTTGCCTGAAAAAGCAAACCTTACAAGGCAGCAAAGTATGTGGGTAGGTAGCACTGGGTTACATAACAGCAGTAGCAGGGTGATCATGATGATCTTGAACCTGACTTGACCTGGATTAATTAAAAGAAGTTACTTCCTGAAAGCATTACTTTAAAACATTGAACAAGATATTTTGGAAATGCTTTAGCAAAAACATTACATTTAATAGTGTGTTAAAAATGAAGATGAGCATATGTTTTATAGTTGAAGTCACTAGTTGGTAACTGAGCTCACATGACATCAGAGATTTATACAAAATACATACATGTTGACTGTCAGATAAGTTATATAACATTTTAAGGAAATTTACAATAGTACAAGTACTAACATAAATACCTGAATATACAACGTAACATTATAGACAATGATGTAAATGGAAATAAAACTGATATTAATAATACTAAATATAATAATACTGTTAATAATAATAATATTGATAGCAATAATAATAATAATAAAAATAATAATAATAACAATAGTAACAAAATGATGACAATATAATAAAAGGACAATTTCATAAATAAAAACAATAACAGCAGCAACAAAAATTTAGTAAATAAACAATAAAGATTTAGTATGAAGTAGAGAATAGTTGAATGAAAAGAGATAAAAAAATAGATAAAAAAATAAAGAATGCCAAAACATTAGCACTAATATTAGTATTAATATTAGAATGAAAAATTTAACAATGGCAGAAATGAAAAAGAAAAAAAAATGGCAGAAAAAAAACCAGAGGAATTAGATGTAGATGGATAAATAAAGAATTTCAAAATGTTAAAAATACTCAATTAAAAACTGAAGGATCACAAGTTGATAGATATAATAAAGAATTTCAAAATTAATTTGTAGAAATATTTAATGGTATTTTTTCAACAAATAATTAAAAAACTTGATTTTGAATTCAGAGATTGAATTAAGAGATTTTAGATCAGAAAGTACTTTGTTCGATGAGCTTATACATTAATATTTAATGAATTTATTTCCATTTTTAGCAAAGTGACGTTATGGAATAAAGTTTAAGTTACTGATGGAAGGAAGAGGATAATGACAATTTGTACTTGTAAAGATATTGTTGAATGATAGAGGAAGGTTTTTGTGATGATAATTCCAAACAAATTGGCAGTTAAGAAATACCGCAAGGTTGCTTAATTTTATTATATAGGAGATTAGGTATAGCACATTAGAATTAAAGTTATTATACTATAATATATATAATTTTCAGGGTTAATTTTAAAGATAAAACAACCTCAAAAAGATTTATTTATGGGATTGTCCCCATACTTGACATGAATATGTTAGATGGGAACCAAAAATAGGATGATATATTTTTAGAAGAGTTTCTAGATTTACATAATGGCAGACTTTGGCTAGCATTTCATTAGATCTGATGAGTTACATTGCTAAGTCATTTATTTGGCCTTGAAAAGAAAGATTAGAATCAATTTTAATCTCAAGATACTTAATAGAGTCTAAAGATCTTTTTCGATGTCTAACAATTCATTAACCTATTTCAAAGGACTAACCAGTCAAAATTATTTGGAGTTTTTTGCTTTGAATTTATTTGGCACTCAGAAGACAACACAATACCAACAGTATTTTTTATCCATAAGAAAGTTATTAAATTTTGAAAATGTAAAGTTATTATAACTCATTATTAAGACTCAGTCAAACACTTGTTAAATAGTTTAGAGAGAATTGAAGAAAGTTCTGGAGAACAATTCTGCAAGACTGTGACAAGAATGTTGTCTGGACCACAAGCTGTAGACAAGTTTAATTGAGATATGACTTTAGCGGCAGAAGCCGGAGTGATTTGAATGTCTAACAATGGGTCAACCTGTTTGACTGGAATGGAAGGAAGAGAATGTCCATAAGATTCAAGAGTGGAATTAGAAGAAAAGTTCTTTGCAAACAGTTCTGCCTTATCCCTGGGAGAGGTAACAAGATCAGTCCCATGAATGAGAGATGGAATGTTAGATCTACCCTTGTTAACAATGCTGTTGAAGATTTTCCAAAAGTCTTAAGAGCCTAACTTCTGCGATAAGATGCGAGATTTAGTGAACTGAGAATAATGGAGTTTAGTATCAGAAAGCACCTATTTACATCAATTTCTTGCAATAATAAATAGCCGTTTGTTCTCAAGAGAGTTGTTCTTTTGAAAAAGATGAAAAAAATGATTACAATTGGATATAGCAGCCGCACAAGAAGGAGAAAACCATGGAGTAGAATGAGGCTTGACTTAAAACCGAAGAGAAGAAATAAAAGCTTCCATTCCAGCCTAAATCCAGGAGGTTACGTAGGAAGCGCATTTGTCAGCTGAGAGAGAAAAAACATCAGCCCAAGGACCATCACGAAGAAAATCACGAAAGGAATCCCAGTCAGCTTTAGGGTAGTAGTAGGTGGTGCGATGATAAGGTGAGCCCAAAAAAAGAAGTACGAGAAGAAAGATTTATAGAGATCATTGCATGGTCAGAACCACCTAAGGAAGAAAAGGGAAAAACTGAACATAAGCTAGGGTCAGAGACAAGACATAAGTCAAGGAGTGAAGGTAAATGATTAGGGTTGTCAGGAAAACGAGTCACAAAGTTAACTATCTGAGTAAGAGATTGAGAAACACAGAAGTTAAAGGCTGTAGTGCCAGCAGGATCAGTGGTGTTAGAGCCAAGCCATTCAGTGTGATGGGCATTAAAATCACCAACAACAACAATATTGGCAGAGGGGTAAAGAGAGAGGGCATGGTCAATTTGATCAGAGATAACATCTAAAAGAGTGCAATCATGGGAAGAAGGAGAACGATAAAGAACAAAGAGAAAGGTGATAGAGTGAAGAGGTGCTAGGCGAAAGCACATAAAAGAATGGTCAAAGGATTCAAATCTGATTTCACGACAAATAGGGGAATTAATGCGTATGTATACCCCTAAACCTAATTACCTCACAGTTTCAATTTGACCCATCCAATAGCCGCTTCCATCAAAAGATGCCACTGTCATTGTTTTCAATTCTAAAAATAGATACCAAGACATCAAAATGAACCTAATACATAAATATAAAATATAAATGCAAAAACTTAATTAAATGTATGTGAAAGAGGGTTCCTTTCTTTAAGCTCACAACTTTTATACTTTACATTTACCTTAAATTTATTACTTTTAATTATTATGAATCAATTGAATATTATATATTTAATATACATTTTGAATCTAATCTGACATTTAAACAGTATTTTAAATTTTTTTTTTATATTTCTGAAGTTTAAAAGTTTGGAAAATCAATATTTATATAGTGCTATAAATTAGAAATTACCATTTAAAATATATAATAATTTAAATATAATTTACATATTTCTTAATATAATTTGTATACTTTAAGTATATAGCTTAGTATACATGTTTACTTTTATTAAAAGCATCAATTTTTACATCATTTCTAAAGACAGTAGAGATGAACTCTGACAACTTTGTTTGCTTTGTTTCTAGAATAAATAAACTGGTAATGTCTGATAAAATTTAAGCTCATCATTTTTTTAAGAAATATAAATTTAGGAAAGTATTTAACAAACATAGTGATAAAAAACTGAACTGCTCCTGATGCCAAAAACTTTTTGCAACATATTTTAACTTTACACTAAAACTAAATACAACTGTTAAAGATTCATTTAATTAAAAATTAAAACTGTTTAAAATTCAAAACAAATGTATTAAAAATTAATACAAATATTTAAACACTTTTGTGTTTAAAAATTTAAAACAATGCAAATAGTCAAAATTTGGTTAACACCTTTACAAACCCTTTGGTCTATTCTTTCTAAAGTTTTTATTAAAATTTTTTACTTACTTTTTATGTTTATTTTTAAAATATAAAGTTTTTGCATTTTATACAATTGAAATCAGTTAGTAACCCCTCATTTACAGAATTAGCAGAAAATAATTTAGTAGAGTTATATAGTAAATAATGTTTATATATAATTATATATATAAACATTTATATATAATAATATTATAGTTATATAGTAAATAAGTTAATAATGTTTGCAACAAGAATTTAAAAACCTTCTTCACAAAATACGCCTGAAAATCCCAACAAACAATTACACCTGTAACTGTAATCAGCTTCAGCGCTACAGGATGCATTATTCAGACAATTGTTATTTATACATGAATTGTATTCACCAATATTTCTTCCAACAATATCTGTATTTGATGAATTTAACATATATAATTTATCATTTACCTAAAAATAATGGAATTGAAATAAACTTTATTTCATAAAGACCTCATTATGACTAAAACAAATTAAATTATTACTTTGAAATGAGTAATACAACCAACAAAATTTGATTTGATTTCACTTGAGATATCAGTATTAATGACTGAAAAGTCAGGCACTCCTCCAATATAAAAATTACTATTAACATCTAGAGAAACAGCTAATGGAGATGATCGCACTCCAACATATATATCATCATTAAGTTTCATGACAGCCTGATTGTTAATTCTCTGGAAATGCAATCTATTGATGTTGTTAGGAGTCACGCATGTGCGACTTAGTAAAGTGACAGTATTTCTGCCAAGGTTGAAGCGAACAAGAACATATCTAAACATATCAAGTACAAATTTCTTACTAGTTTGCTTTTCTTTATAGCATACAGATTTTTTAGTATAAGAAAAATAAAACAAAGAATAAAAAAAAGTATTGCTGCCCAAACCCTCAGTTGATGTAGCAGCACTCCTTTGCAACAGCAGGCTACAAAATAGTAAATGTATGTACTAAAGTTTTGGCAGCAGGCTATTTCAGTGTGACATCACAGGGCTTATTTAAACATGCATTTATAGTAATATATATATATACATATATATATATATATATATATATATATATATATATATATATATATATATATATATATATATATATATATATATATACATAACACATACATGAATGCAGTATTATATACACATTGATTATGTCATACTATAATGAATTGTTGCTGGGGGTTCAATACATGCATCGACTGATTATTAGGTAGAACATGCAAGGAAATGCCACTATATCAACTGAGAGTTTGGGTTGGACAGTAATCTTTTCATTAACCTTTGTTTGTTTTTTTTCTGAATACTTACAAACATGTGCAATAAAATTTGAGACAAGCTTTAATTAGTGATAATTGGTAAATTTAATAAATCAAATTTACCAATTAACACTAATTTAAAGGCTGCTAGAAAGATAGGTTGTTGCAAAATCACAATTGGATAAATCTTAAAATGCTTTAAAAAGCCTGTTTTTTGTTGTAAAATACCTTACAGGACTCCTGATCCCAAAGCCTGTGTTTTGGGGTCGCCAAAAATGTGGTCAACATTATTTAAAATATCTTGAATTTATTATTGATGATGAGTCTTACTTTACTTTGTCAAATAGTATGCTAACTAGTAATAATAAATAACAATCAAATGATCAAAAACTGATGCCAGACATTATAATGACGTTGCAAAATTTGAAAAAAAAATACTTGTAAGTATAGCATCTCCCCACAAGGTGTTACATCAATTTACATTGTTCTTTCTAGGCAAGCGATAAACCAAAATCTGTTTAAAAGAGTGTTTAAAACAGTGCTTGCAACCGTTTAATAATAAATATTATTGAGACACCGAAAATCTTTCTGCTCAATTAAGCAACATCTCATTTTGAATAATTCAGTAACATTGAATAATTCAGATATATTTTTAATAAAAACCCAGAAGATGCCAATTGTTCAAAAAAAAGGACAATCCAGCAAACTTGCCAGAAGTTCATGCTATAAAGGAGTTTTGGGTAATGCTTAAGCAGAATGTGTACAAGAAGAATGTCTACAGATGATGTATCAAGCTTGAGCGTCGAATTTGTAACTGTGCCAGTAGACTTGACCTAAATACCTGATTATACCAAGCTACAAGATATGGAGTCTTTTGAATTCTACATATTTTATTCTATGTACATACCAAAAAAAAATTTTCAATCAAGTTTACTAAGATTTTTATTAAAGTTTAAAGCCAACCTCAAATTTTATGGTACAGGTATACAAAACCTAAATAATTTAGATATTTACAAAATATTTCAGGTATATACAAAACCTACCCACTATACAATCCTATTGCAAGAAAATCTCCAGAACTTGACACATTCATATTATTTGCTACATAAAATAAGAGACCATTTATCTTATCAGGTCTAAAATACATTTCCATTGAGGTGTACAGTGCAATATTTAAACCAGGCAAAAGCAAATATGACTTATCATTAAAAAATGGTATTGAAATAACAAGATCTAAAATAAAACTAATCATAATTATAACAATAACACAATAAACGAAAAACATTTTAAAAATTTTATAACAAAAAGGAAAATAAAATACTAGTTTGGCAAAACAATCCTGATTTGCCAAAAGCACAATCACAATTTATGTCAAAATTATTATCCGAATAACAAGCTGAACTTGGATGACAAGGATTATATTCAACACATGGAAGTACAGTGTCTTGACAGAGTATTCCTTTGTTTGGATGAAGACAAATACAGTAAAATACATTTTCTAAAAAATTAAAATAAAATTAATTTAAGGTTATTCTTGAACATATTTATAATTTAAAAAAAAGCAAATTCCTTACAAAACTTGTAACTTAATAAAAGAAAAAAAAAAATTTAATCTTTCATTTTGGAAAAACTTTTTTTATTTTTTATTCTCAACTAATAAATTAACCTTGTTCATGACATGATCCATTGTTGTTACACAACTGATTTTGACAACTTTGAGCCTCCATAACAATGCCCAAGCTATTCTCTAATTGAATATTTGTAGTTTCTGTCAAATCATTTTGAAGTTTTTTAAATAGTATAGGTGTAAAATAGGGATTATCAGTGCGAAGACTAAGTTTATAAAGTGCTCCTATAAACCCAGAGGAGAAAAATAAAAGCACAGATTTTGGAAGAATAGCATTAAATGGTATTCCACCAATAAACAATGCACTGGTAAAATCAAGATAAGATAACTTTTCATAACATGTATATAAAACCTTTGGCTGATTGTCAATGAAAATATAAACCTGTTGCCCTGAATATCCAGTGACCAAATAGTGCCATACTCGTGATACAGATAGCTCATCATGACTCTTTACAATTCTGACACCGTTTCCAAAATTGAAGATAACAGTAATAAAGTTGTCATGAATACCAACAGCAAAGAAGATACCACCTAAATTATTTTACTTATATATATATTTATATATATCTTTATATATATATATATATGTATATATATATATATATATATATATATATATATATATATATATACTACTGATCTTTCGTATATATATATATATATATATATATATATATATATATATATATATATATATATATATATATATATATATGTATATATATATATATATATATATATATATATATATATATATATATATATATATATATATATATATATTAATATAAAAAATAGTATATATATATATATATATATATATATATATATATATATATATATATATATATATATATATATATACACTACTGATCTTTCGTGGAAAGCATATATACAATTGATTGCTAAATTAGCATCCGATAAGGTTGCTTCTCTTTAATGTGCTTGCCATTTTCTTTAGCCTGATTCCATTCTCTACCTCTACAAATCTCTTATTCGCCCATTATTGGAATACTGTTATCATATTTGGTTTGGTTCTTCTAATGATGCTCTTTTGATTTTAGACAAAGTCCAAACATGTATTGTAAGCATAGTTGGACCCGCTCTCTCTGCTTAAGCCTCTTTCTAATTGTCGTAAAGTTGCACCTCTTTCTCTTTTCTATATATCATAGTTGCTGCTCAAAGGAGTTACCATCTCTAGTTCCATCAAACAAAACTCATTCTTGCTTGATTTGTCATTCAGCTAAGTTTCATTTGCTTATTTTATCTATCTCTGCATGCATGCTTTAAAAGCTTTTATTGTCTAGTTTTTCCCCCTGCATTTCAACCGTTTAGAACTCTCTCCCATCTTGATAATTTCCTGACTCATACAACCTAAAACTCTTTAGATATATGCTAAACCTTTTTTTTTTTTTTTTTTATATGCTAAACCTTTTTTTTTTTTTTGCTTTATAACCCTATTATTTTTTCTATAACTCTATTATTTGCTCTTATATATACATATATATATATATATATATATATACATATATATATATATATATACATATATATATATATATACATATATATATATATATATATATATATATATATATATATATATATATATATATATATATATATATATATATATATATATATATATATATATATATATATATATATATATATATATATATATATATATATATATATACACACACATACACACACACACACACACACACACACACACTCAAACAGAGCAGAGTGTACATACATCAACTGACTTAAGTTGAACAGCAGGGAGTCTACATATGTTGATACATTAACAAAAACTATGCCTAAGTTCCATGCCAAGGAAAGAAATAAAGCATGAGAATATAACAAGATGGTTTTTAGTGAATTATAAAATTATTTAAACTGCATCTACAGCAACAAAATTAACCCTAAAAATAATGAACAAGTAAAACATCATTTAGAGAAATGTAATCTAAGTAATAAAGTAAATTTTGGACCAGCAAATAAATATTGTTAGCATCAATTTCTAAAAATCAATATAAGCAACACCAACAATCGACATCTTCATTTCTAAAAGCAATACCAAATAACAATTGAGCACAAATAAAAATGTCATATTTAGCAAAAACAACTTTGAAACAAAGAAGTGAAATAGATTCACAAGTAGCAATATTTACTTTTCTTGCCAAACGTTTTTATTTAATTCTCTTAAAAGTTGCACATTTTCTTTTGCACAATTACCAGGTTTAAGTACGTTATAAAAAAAAAAAATACACTTGCAACCACCACCAACCTTATTGTCAAATAATATATATTAACTTATTTTAAATATTTATTATTTTAACATTATGTATCTTATATGCTATAAGATTTACAAAGTCAATTATTGCCGTGTAATAATATGCAATAACAACAATACAGACATTTTTTTTATTTCCAAGGGATAGTTAAATTAGAATAGAGAATTGATAAATCAATTGATATAAGATGGAACTCACAGTTAGACAGCATAAAAACATGTGTCAAATTATTTAATACATTTAAAAATAAGAAGTGAGTGTATGAA